AATGGCATCTAAACACTTGCCAAGAAGAGAACCATCCATGTAGGAAGACAAAGATCCTGCAGAGTTGTTGCACCACACATCAGCTACTAATGAGGCCCCCTGTAGCATTAAATGCAATTATCCCTTCACGTCGGAACATGACAACCTCACCATGAACAAGGCAAGCTAGAGCATAGACTTTCAGCCAACATGACAGGTCAGAGTGGACAAGGAAATGATGAACAAGAGGATATAAGGAGGCTTCCAAGATACAAAGAAAGTTAAGTTCCCTATCATTACTCTATCTTTACACACCATCAATCTCTCTCTTTTCTAACTTGTTCGTTGGAGGGTTTGTTGGGGGACTCTCGTTCCTCGTTGAACTTTTGTGTAGGTATCTCAGTGAGCCCAGCGACCGGACAATGGTGTTGGGAGCGTGGATCAACCTGACCCATCCCCCAGGGACGAGTAGTACCATCAAGAACAACCACCTTAATAAGTTGATTATTGATTTATTTAGTACACGTTTCGTAAAAAATTAAAAAAAATCACTAAATAAACCATACCTAAATCATCCCTTAAATTCCAAATTCAATCCATTAATTTTGCGGTCCAAAATTTTTAGCCCAACCCATTCCTATGGGTTAAATTATTGTTCCTAAACCTTAAAAAAATAGGACTGGGCACGGGCGAGTCTACCCCTTTCTCTATTTTATTAAGTTTTAAAAAAAAATAAAACCAATGCAAATGGTATGAAAGTACAAGCAATGACCACTATGAGAAAAATAAAATAAAATAAAATTTAAGTGGGGTCAATAAAAAATTTAAGTACTACAAAGCATAAAAACAAAAAATAAAAAATTGTACTCTCCTATCTATATGTCAGAATTGGGGATGCTGTGCAGCCTGCGCAGCAGCACTTGCTGTGTGGCAAAATGAGCTCATTTCGGGGTCTATTTTAATAATTTGAACCGTTCACATTTTAACATACATCAAGTAGAATATTCTTGTAAAAAATCGAGTTAATCGGATATCGTTAATTATTCATCCACTCATATTTGTATTCATTTTAATACTTTAAATCACAATTATCATTTATATTTGTACATACAAATGTGAGTGGATGAATAGGTAAACGATACCCGATTAACTTGATTTTTTGCAGGAATGTTCTACTTGACGTATGCTAAAATGTGAACGGTTTGGATTATTAAAATGGGCCCCAAAATGGGCTCATTTCACCGCACAGCAGGTGCTATTGCGTAGGCTGCGCAGCAGCATTCCCAATTCCCTATATGTATCATATGTTTCCAATCATATATATAAGGAAAATGGTATTTCTAATGACAAGGCTTGTGGGAACTCTAAACCCTTAAACTAAATTTTTTGATTTTTTGATTTTTAAATAATAAAAAACATTCTATTGGTTAAACTCTTATTTAATCATAACAATTAAACTCTACTATATATAGAAGCAACCCACTAAAATCTAATTATTTTTTATTTTAAAAAATGCAACAACCCGAAAATTTAAGTTGTTCGTTAAATTTTATATTATTATTCGAAATTATTTTTTGAGTATTATAGTATTTTTATTATATTTTTCGATATATTTTTTTCTAAACCAAAATATACTGAAATATATCATTTTCTGTACAACAGACGACATGTGCCCCTAAGACTGCTTGCCGCCCACGCCTCCTTTACTATATAAATAGCTATCTATCAGCAGCATCATGATCACCAAACTCTCTTGTTCTCTCTCTCTCTAGCGTCCAAGTTTTATATATAAAACTTTGAGTTTAATTTGGAGTATCTAGTGGGTCGTAATGAATGAAAGGCAAAAATTAGAATTAAAGTTAAGGTGAGTTATATTATACCTTAAGTCACTATCATATATTTTACATATGTTTTGAGTTATCATAATTTATTTTACGTAATTTGTATTTTATAAATTATATTAGCATTTTTAATTTATGAACCTTATTTTATATAATAAGGAAAACCCATGGATATAATTGTTTATTAAAATGTGTTTTGAATAATTATTTTATAAGTACCACCATAGAGGTCCGATGCCTTGGGGGAACTTAAATAATCATTAGCCTTCTGATTAGTCACTTTGTGATCCTTTGTCTGTCATGGATCCACTGACATTCTGATTTCTAGTATAGAGTAAAGTGTTATACGGAACTAAGTGCTACACTATTGTGGGAGCCACTTTTTGAGTCCATATATTTGCTATGTTCTGTACCGTGGTTATAATTTTTGCTGTGGAGCAAATTGTTATACGGAGCTAAGTGCTACATTATGATTTTTTTTTATCAGCAAAGAAAATCTTTATTAATGATGAAACCCTACATTACATGTGGGAAAACATCAACAAAGATGAAAAAAAAAAAAAAAAAAAAAAAGGAAAAAACAACCATGGTGATGACCTTTCCCTCTCGTACCCAAGTTCCTGAGCCGAGGCAACTTTGGTGATGACGGACACGTGGCCTTCATGGAGGTCCGATGCCTTGGGGGGACTTAAATAATTATTAGCCTTCTGATTAGCCACTTTGTGATCCTTTGTCTGTCATGGATCCACTGACATTCTGATTTCTAGTATGGAGCAAAGTGTTATACGGAACTAAGTGCTACACTATTGTGGGAGCCACTTCTTGAGTCCATATATTTGCTATGTTCTGTACCGTGGTTATAATTTTTGCTGTAGAGCAAACTGTTGTACGGAGCTAAGTGCTACATTATGATTTTTTTTTATCAGCAAAGAAAATCTTTATTAATGATGAAACCCTACATTACATGTGGGAAAACATCAACAAAGATGAGAAAAAAAAAAAAAAAAAAAAGGAAAACCAAGCATGGTGTTGGTGAGAAACCAACACTAGCTGAAACCAACACCCAGAACTTTTACAGCAGCAACATAAATAATTCAGCAGCCTTCATTAACAAATCAACAGCGTCCATATACCTTCTCTATCCTTAAGTCCAAGCCTTCCACACAGCAGCCTCCATATACCTCTTCAGCAGAGCTTTTTAGGAGAAGTTTTTCAACCACATCAATAACAACATATAGGGCACATAATGCATGGAAGTCAAGAGATCAATCCAAATGATGTATTGGAACAATTGTCAGAGTTCCAAAGCTATGCTATAATTCCACCTACACAAATCAACCAGAAGCTCTGTTGAACAGAGCACCAGAGCAACTGATTTAGCAGATCAGTGACAAAGTAACAGTAACTAGCATTACACATCAATCTACAACCATCAATCAACCTAATGCATTAGACCTCAGGGCCATTCCAAATGCATTATTACACTTGATGCATGTTAGACACAAGGTCATTAATAGAGAAACCACAGCCATTGAAGAAGCCTTGAAGAAAGTCACCAACACAAGGTCAGTAAGATACCTACAGTTGCAAATACACCTTTGCACAATACAGCAGCAAGTCACCAACCTTCAAGAAAACATTATATTCAGCAGATAGTTCCAAGAATGAAGGAAACAGGGACAGAACCCTACAACAGTAGACTAAGAACCATACAACAGGACCCTCAGCCAATGCAACAGACAGCAGACAATAGCCAATGCAACAGACAGTAGCCTCAGCCAGTGCAACAGATAGCAGCCTCAGCATAAACACCTCAATATACCTGATTGTATGCTCAGTAACTGGTTTAAAGAAAACTCTTTGCATTCCCATTTCAATGATGCCCAAAACAAAATGCGAAACTTGATTGAATCCGACAACTCCTCCCAATTTGGTTGGATGTTCTCAAAGACACACTGATTTCTCAACCTCCAAATCGACCACATGACAGTACAAGGGATAATCTCCCATATTATTTTTCTTTTCCTTCTAAATTTCTAACTCATCCACCATTCAAACAAATAGTCATTGAACCAGGAACCACCCACGATAGCCCCCACCAGTGCAAAACTGCGGTCCAGATCCTCCACACTTTCTCACACCAGATTAAGACATGTTTCAAAGTTTCATTTTCAATGCCACAAAATCTACACTGCCCATCATTTTGGTTGTCAAGAATCTCTAATCTAGCAAGCCTATCTGAGGATTTAACTCTACCCCTCCACGCCAACCATCCAAAGAACTTCACTGATGGTGGCGCTCCATTCCTCCAAATCAATTTTGGTACTTCTATATTAGGACCCATATCAGCACCAATACACTCATACATTGATGCCACTGTATAAACACCGCAATTATTAGCCTTCCATCCAATTATATCATCCTCCTTCTGATTAAGCTCCGTAACCCCATTAAGAAGTTGTTTAGAGTAACGACCTGTTCTTCCTCCCAAGCCATCAATGGTTTTCGAAACTCCACCTTCCATTCATATCTATATCTGAGAGAGACCAAAAAGGCTGCAACTTTACCGTCTTTATTAGAATTGATCTGGTACAATCTCGGGAAAACGTTTCGTAATACAATTTCCTCTCTTACCCACTCATCGCTCCAAAACTGCATCCTATTTCCTCTGCCAAGGCTAAACTTGATAGTATTCAAGAAAGTAGCCAAAGCTTCAGGCCATCGAACACTTACCAAAGAGATGTCCGACCAGACACTAGAAACAATGTGAGATTGGGCTGGTAACCAGCATCTTGGATCAATTTTGTGAACATCGCAAATAACGTTTTTCCATAGACAATCTTTCTCCGCTGCAAATCTCCACCACCATTTTAATAACAGTGTGATGTTCATAACTGTAATCTTCCTAATCCCAAGGCCTCCCACCTTCGTACTTTTAGAAACTTTATCTCATTTTACCATATGCATCTTTTTTCCATGCTCATTGTCCTCCCCCCAAAGAAACGCACTCTGAATTTTTGTAGTCTCCTTTGCCACTGCCACTAGAATCTAAAAGATTGACATAAAGTAAATTGGCAAGGTGCATAGTACTGATTTAAGCAGAGTTAGTTGCCCCCCAAAAAAGAGTAACCTTTTCTTCCATGATGCCAATTTCAACTTAACTCTATCCACCACTGGTTGTCATATCCTCCTCAATCTTGGATTAGCACCTAAAGGTAGTCCCAAAAATTTCATTGGAAGCTTCTGCACTTTGCATCTAAGAGCTGCTGCAAATTCATTCAACAACGCATTATCAATACCCACTCCTCCTACCAAACTGTTATGAAAGTCCACCTTTAACCTTGATATAATCTCAAAGCATCTCAAGATTCTTCTAATATTAACTATTTCAACCCACTTTGCTTGATAGAAAATGATTGTATCATCGGCGAACTGCAAATGCGTCAAACAAATGGTTTCAACTTGAACTCCTTTCAATAGCCCCAGTTGTGTGGCCCTAATAAACATAACGTTCAAAATCTCTGCTTCAATGATAAAAAGAAAAGGAGAAAGCAGGTCCCCTTGCCTTAACCCTTTTTGCGGATTGAAAGAATCTGACGAAGATCCATTAACTAGTATAGACAAAGAGACTGTAGTTATGCATTCTTTTACCCATTGAATCCATTTTGAATGGAAGCCAAACCCTTCCATAGTAGCAATCAGGAAATTCCAATTAATACTATCATATGCATTCTCAAAGTCTAACTTCAGCACAAGGCCCTCAAACTTTTTAATCTTCCAATAATTAATAATCTCATTGGCTATGAGGACCTCATCTCAAATATGTCTTCCCCCTATAAAAGCCGTTTGAACCTTACCAATAATGGAATGCAAAGCTGGCTTAATCCTTGCTGCCAGAACCTTTGACAACACTTTATAAATACACCCAATCAAACTGATGGGTTAGAAATCCTTAATTGAAACTGGGTTATCGCTTTTTGGAATTAATGCAATAAAAGATGCATTCAGGCCCTTAAAAAGTTTCCTATGAGCATGAAATTCTGTAAAAAATTGAACAATATCCCCTTCATGATTTTCCAGCACTTCCTCAAACAAAGCATGTTAAACCCGTCTGAACCTGGCGCTTTGTTACCGTCGTAACTCTTAATGGCTGACCATATTTCCTTCTCAGAGAAGTTCTCAACTAATAGCCTATTCATGTCCTCACTAATTACAGACCCAAAATTACCTTCCAAATATGGCCTTTTCTTCAATTTTTCAGAAAAAACGGATTTGAAATGATTGAGCACTGCTAGCTTGACCCCATCAGGATTTTCCACACTAATATCTTCCACCATAATAGAGTTCAAGAAGTTTCTTCGTTGTCTACCATTGGCAATGATGTGAAAATATGTAGTGTTTTGATAGCCTTTAAGAGCCCAATCAACCCTTAATTTTTGATGCCAAAGCCATTCGGCCCTTTTCAAAGCACTCCAGAGTTCTGATTTTAACTCTTTTCTTTTTAAAATATCCGCATCATTCAATGGGTTATTCTCTGCTACAAGATCCAGAGAATGTAGTTGATCTTCAATGCTCTTCACTTTATCATGAATATTGCCAAAGACAGAATAATTCCACTCTTTCAATTTACCCTTCAATTCCTTCATTTTTCTGAACACCCTAAACCCTGCCCAACCTTCAATAATATTATACTCCCCAGATTTCTTTACTACCTTCATAAAATTGAGATACAGAAGCCAAGCATTAATAAATCCGAATGGACGGGGCCCCAAATCGCGATCATCTTCTTTGAGGAGCACTGGATAGTGGTCAGACAAGCATCTTTGCAATCCCCACTATTTAACCTTGAAAACCTCCATCCACTCCGGATGAAGAAGAAACCTATCAATACGGCTCCATCGTTCGCTACCTTGAGAATTTGACCAGGTGTAGTTCTTCCCCATCAATGGTAGATCCACTAATTCCATCAGGTCAACAAATTCATTAAAATGCCCCATGCCTCTCTCTCTCTCTCTCTCTCTCTCTCTCTCTCCTTATACTTCCTTGCATTTCACCCAAAGTTCGAATCTCATTAAAATCTCCCCTAATGCACCATGGGTTTACATAGTCGTTTTTAACAGATAACAGTGTTTTCCACAACCTTTGTCTAGCAGCCACATCATTTGGGCCATAGATATTCATAATTGTGCAGGAGAAATTAGGGGAAATTGTACCTTTTAAAAGGATAAAATTGCGATTACCGCTCAAACTCCTGAGGCTAAAGTGATTTGGGTTCCAAATGCAAAGAAGTCCTCCAGCGCTCCCGCATGCATTCACTTCAACACAATCAAAAATAGTGCTTGGCCACACCAATCTCACGAACTTTGCTGAAACAACTTCCTTTTTCGTTTCTTGAATCAAAACCATGTCTATCTCCTATTCTTTTAGTTTTCGCTTCATGTTACACCTTTTAGACTTCCTCCTCAAACCTCTAATATTCCAGATTAATATCTTCATTTAAAACTTAGACAACACCCAACACCCTAAATAGGCAGTCAACTAAACAGCTAGCCTTTTCCCCTAATTTCGTCTTTCATCATCAATTTCTTCAAGTTCAACGATCCTATTAATGATTTCCTTCTGGCATTGATGTTTTCACCCCCAACACCTTGCCCATCTCCCAAACTGCCTAAGCCTTAGATAGAATGATTCGATTTCTATTGATGATTGACCCCGACAAGATTGATGAGGAGGTTGCATCAGCCACTACTCGAAAAATAGCTCCTCTTTTCAAGATTCTCTTCGCTTTTCTTTGCTTACCCTTGTTCATACATGAATCTCCTAAGATTTCTTCCACAAATTTCACATTTCTTCTCTTCTTATCGTCGATAAGCTTGTGACGATAATTGAACAAACCATGTCCGTTGTTCAGCTTTTGGGCCCACCTAATGTTACCTCCTGAGCCTAGAGCCTTAGGCAACACCTTTGACTGTGATTCAATTTCCTCTGGGCTAGACTGATTTGGTAAAGAAGAATAATTTGGGCCCAAACTCATACATGGAGCAAAAGGGACTAGGGGCCAATTTTTGGAGCCCAAATGGGCCAAAGAAATCGATTCCAGTCCATCCTTCAGGCCCTCAAAGCAATCAACCTCATCATCCACTTTTTGAGCCGTTGCAATACACATGGGCAGCTGTTCAACTTCCAAAGCCACCTTTGGCTGCTTTTCATTTCTCAAATCAAAATTTGTTTCTCCAACTAATGACTGGTTTGTCTCTTCTGGACAACACTCATCACCTCCGACCCTCCGATGCCTTAAAACCAGCTTAGCTGTGGACACCAAGTCACCATCCACATTACCACCCACCCTTGAATCCAACTTAGCTGTGGGCACCAAGTCATCCTCCATGTCACCAACCACATTCTGACATTCATCCTCCTGTATACTTTCGGCCACACTTTCTAGAATTTCCGATGAGTTGCCAGAAGCAACAGTTCTGCTAAAATAAAAGTTCCTCCCTACTGCTTCTTCTATCACTCGAATTGGATATGATATCCCTTTGTACTCCACAGTCATCATTTGATTAATCATCTCAAAATGTTTTGTAAAGATCAACACTCTCCCAACTATAAAGGACATGCCTTTCAGAGTTTCATCTTCTAGTTGGACAATCTTCCCCCATACTTTACCAATATTGGAAAATGTGATTGAGTTCTAGAAATTTAGTGGAACACCATAGCAATTAAACCACACTAATCTTCCAAATTCATGCATCATAGATGGGTTCTATTCAACAAAATTCTCAAAGCATCCATCAATTCATCTCAGTTTATCCTGCAACGCCCTCTTCATGGCTTCCACTATTGGAAAAGTAATGATCATACTTTTTTCCACCAATTTCACGAACTTGTAGATTAAGGACCCCTACACTTTTTAGAATGTCCTCCACCACTTCGACTATACAATAAGAATAAGTTTTTCCCACTGCACTTCTTCTTAGCCATTCATTACCATACTCATCAGCTTTAACGGATAGGAGTAAAGCTTTGTTACAGACCTTATTGCAACCTCTCACCACGTCTGCAAAGGATTGATTGTGAACATTCCTCCTTTGGGGTTGCCCTATTGTACTCCGGTGCGCTCCATTAGGATCATCAAACCTTGTTCTACTCGTGCCATTTGACTTCACCGTTTCCCTTAAAACTTGCCCTTCCTTGCAAAAAGAGCCAACTTTGCGAACAACCTACAATTTCTCATTGTTACCCCATTAATCGCTTTCACAGCTCTCACTGCCTCCTTCTTGGATCTGAATCTAACAAATCCAAACCTGCGTTTGAATCTTATGCTTAATTTTTTTGGAATGAAAACATCTTGAACCTCCCCTGCTCCTCTGCATAATTGTAGCAGCCATTCCTTATCCATAGAATCTGGCAAGTTATCCACGAACATAGTAACCATTGGCATTGGCCAATACCAATTACTTGCAAAACTTGCTCTTCTATGACTTCTCACCACCTTTCATTATTCTTCCATGTTTCTTAACAAGTGCTAACTAAAATCCATTTCCTCTTGAACTTTCGATAGCATAGTATAAGTGCTACACTATGGTGGGAACCATCTCTAGAGTTCATACGAGCCACCTCTTGAGTCCATACATCTGTTCTGTTCCATTTTGTATCGTGGTTCTGATTATTTTCGTTTGAATCTTATGCTTAATTTTTTTGGAATGAAAACATCTTGAACCTCCCCTGCTCCTCTGCATAATTGTAGCAGCCATTCCTTATCCATAGAATCTGGCAAGTTATCCACGAACATAGTAACCATTGGCATTGGCCAATACCAATTACTTGCAAAACTTGCTCTTCTATGACTTCTCACCACCTTTCATTATTCTTCCATGTTTCTTAACAAGTGCTAACTAAAATCCATTTCCTCTTGAACTTTCGATAGCATAGTATAAGTGCTACACTATGGTGGGAGCCATCTCTAGAGTTCATACGAGCCACCTCTTGAGTCCATATATCTGTTCTGTTCCATTTTGTATCGTGGTTCTGATTATTTTGTTTATATGATTTCTGTATTATATTTCAAATGATTTCTATATTATATGCTCTGTATTTTAATATCAAGCTCTGTTTAGCCAATAATTATCTATGCTCTTAGTATAATATTTCTTACTCTGCCACGTACTTATAGCTATTTACCAATTTTTAGGAAACAATGCAAGTCAGAAGAGGAGTAGGGGAGGTAAACAATGCAAGTTAGAAAATTTTGATTTTCTCAATTTTCTCAATTTAGCCAATTTTGATTTTCTCAATTTTGTAGCTATTTTTATACAATGTTTCCGTTATACTTATGTTTTGTAGTTTTAATTTTCTCAATTTTGACAGGGACTAAATCGACACATTGTGAAAAATACAAGGGCCAAATTGACACATTATTTGACTTTTCGTCAAATTAACTTAACAACCGTTATTTATTGAACTAAAATGACATAATCGAGCAAATTGAAACTACATGGACCAAATTGACATATCGTGTAAATTACAAGGAGTATTAATATAATTTTTCCTATATTTTATTGTGTGACTAAGTTTATTTGGTTGTAATTTTAAATTATAATTAATTCGATATTTTTATAGCTTATTTGGCTAAAAAATAGAGGTTTTTTAAATTACAATTTGTAACTTCTTTTTTGTTTTTTAACTTATTTGAAATCCTTAAATACATATGAATATAAGAGTCTCACATTTTTCGTCTTAGTAATAACTTTTGAGGCATTATGTATATTTACACAATAAAAATGTTATATAGATTATCAAAGGTTACATTGCACCAAATAAATTTACAACTTATTTTAAGTTAATAATTTAAAATTTTCATTGTAATTTATAACCATTTTATGGGTCATGCCAAACATTAAACAAAATTTAAAAAATACAAGATATATTTAGATTAGGGCCTAAGTTACATAAGCTTAATAATGACCGTAAATATGGTGCACTAACATGTGGATAGTTTTTCAAAATAAATATTTGTCAAAATTTTGAATGGGAAAATTTTGTTTAAAAAATAAGTTGATAATTAGATTTAAAGCATATTTGATAAAACTTAATTATTGATTTTGTAATGCTAAAATTTTTAATAAGGTATAAAATTTTTGGATTACATAAATTTATTCATAAATTTTAAATGTGAAAAATGTTTGGCGTAGAAAATATTAAATTTATTCAAAAATGACCGTAAATATGGTGCACTAACATGTGGATAGTTTTCCAAAATAAATATTTGTCAAAATTTTAAATGAGAAAATTTTGTTTAAAAAATAAGTTGATAATTAGATTTAAAGCATATTTGATAAAACTTAATTATTGATTTTGTAATGCTAAAATTTTTAATAAAGTATAAAATTTTTGGATTACATAAATTTATTCATAAATTTTAAATGTGAAAAATCTTTGGCGTAGAAAATATTAAATTTATTCAAAAATATTAAATTTTCAAATGTTAGAAGAACTATTTGAATGGTTTATTAATAAAGTTATTTTATACATATTTATAATGCATCATGTCTATATATATTTTTTTTTAAAGTTTGTGGTTAACTCTTAAAAATTTATAAAATTCTTATTTGAAATGTGGATTATGCATAAATTTATTAACAAATGAGAAAACAAAATTATAAATTCACATATAGTACATGAATTACCTTTTATATTTGAACCATGCTAACTATAAGCGAAGTAATCGTTCTGACTCAAGTTACCTACTGAAAAAATATTGAGATTTAGGTACGAGCTATTAAAATGGTCTAACACATTTTCAAACAAATACACTATAAAAAAAAACTTAAGCTCATGGGTTAGAATTAAATTGTTTTATATACATATTCAGTTTAGAATATTAGTTCTAAATTTTTTTAATATAAAAAAATTAAAAAAATATAAAAAATCAAAAATTAAAAATGATCTATATGGAGTTTAAATTAAGAAAATGACTATGGGGTTTGTAAAATTTTCAATTAATCTAAGCTCTAAAATATTATTAAATATAATTAACTAATATTTAATGAGACTATTTTAGAGGTTGGGGTCACTAATACTCTATTTTTTTTTCTATTTTTTTTTATTCTTGAATTTTGATTTATTGATAAGGTAATTGATTTTACATAATAGATATGAGATAATTGGTAAATTGAAAAACTAAAAAATTACAAAATTCATCAAGATGAAATATATTTATATTTTATCGTAAATATAATTATTATATGGGAATTAATTAATGTTAAATAAATTTTATTTTATATTATAAATAAAGTTTTTGTTATAATTTAATTTTAAAAATAATTTTTACTTATTTATTTTAACTTGTGCATAGTACGGGTATTATACTAGTAAAATAATAAATAAAATTGCACTCTCCTATCTATGTGAAGCTTTTTTTAATTTACTTTTTATTTTTTATTTTTGTAATTAAGTAACAAGTTTAATTTTATCTTTAAATGAAGTTTGGTTTATATTTGTTTCTTTCTATTGATTCATTCCAAAAAAGTTCTTAAATGCTATTAAGGAATGTAACTCAACCATATTGCTTGATCATTTTTTTTTTTTTTTTTGCGTGTGTAAATTTCTGTCGATTAACTAATGTCAATTGATCCCAAATCATATTTTTTCTAACAGGGTTTAAAACACATTTTGTAGAGTTGCTACAATAATATAGTGGAAGATATGCTACAACAATATGGAGCAGGCAAAAAATTAGTAGGTTGTACCGGTATATCATGTACTATTCTTTATGTATTAAAATTTGTAAAACACATTTTATCTACCAATTACTCAACAAAAATGGGTTAATATTATTTTACTTATAAATTTTTACGTTACGTCACACATTAGATGAATTTTCTTTTATCTCCCAACTACCGGATTAGTAATTCTTCACTCGTAAAATCTTTCGTTACATTATTACTAGTTTATAGCATTACATAAAAAATATTACATGATACTCTAAAATTACTGAATGATTATCTAAATTTCACTCGATTTTTCTTTTCTTTTCTTGTATGCGGAAAAGCTCAATTAATTTCATTAATCACTATTAAATAGATTTGATTTTCTTTTATTTGGCTCAATTTCATAGATGATTAAAGGGTTGTTTGAGATGTTCTAAATAAGTGTACTTTTTGACTTTTTATAAAATATGGATTGGGTATAGGTATGAGTTGAGTTTGAAATGATGTGGTAAAGAAATAATATGACCTAAATAAAATGATGAGACTTAAATAAAATAGTAATTTTTTAACTTTTTTTAATAGATGACAATGAGACCTAAATTTTAGCTTAAAAGTATTGACTGAAAATTAAGAGACGGCAGATTATCTGTATATATCTCTCCACAACGCGTCAGATAATATCGGATGTTGTTACAACTTACTTCCTTGAAGTTACTCTCTCTCTCTCTCTCTCCCCACTCACACGCTTGCTGATCCATTGATCCACCATTGAAGAAGATCTATGGATGTGTTCTTTGAACCCACAAAAGGCAGGCCATTCTCCATTGAAGTAGGTTATTTTGATACAGTTTTAGAGATCAAAGAAAAGATCCAAAAAGATCAAGGCATACCCATTTCTAAACAGACTCTGATCTTCAATGGCCAGGTTCTTGACGAGGAGATCAATGTCCACTTCTCCCAAATACTCGATCGCTCTCGCATTCAACTTGTCATCACCCCAGAATCAGAAAAACTTGTCACCAAGAGGGAGGAATCACCGCAGCCTTCTTCTTTCAAGAAAATCCAACTCCTCCTCAAGATGCCGACGTCCAAGCTTTCTGTCATGCTTGAAATGGACGTAAACGATACAATCCGCCGCCTAAAAGAGAGAATTCACGAGATAGACGGTGCTCCTATTCAAAGATTGATTCTTCATGCGAATGATTTTGAGTTACACGACAATAGGGTTTTGCAAGATTACGAGCTTCCGGATCGTTCAGAGATCGAAATCAATGTCAGACCGTCGCCTACCACTTCATCATCGACAGGATCAGGAAATACGAGTAATTCAAAGAAACTACGAGTGATGGTGCTGACAAAGTGCGGGACTAGGAAGATTCCGGTGGAGGTGAATGCTGGGGATAATGTGGGTGAGCTGAGGAAGGAGTTGCAGAAGTTGCACCAAAGGCTTCATATTCATCTGCCATCAGAAGGGTATTTTTTTATATACAGACAGAATGTGATGGATGAAGATAGGTCCTTTAGATGGCACCATGTTGGCCAAGGTGATACAATTGAGATTTTTAGTGGAAGTGTTACTGGTGGCTCATGAATTCATTTCCTTAATTTTCTTAAATTTTGTTATAAATTTGTCAGGGCTACATATATGAAATAAGTGATTGATATCGTGACATTCACATTTATGCAAGGTGCATGCTATATAGTTAAGCAATGGTACAATATAGAAGGGGAAAAAAAAATCTTTATAATATATATACTAGTGAAGATAATATTATTCTTGAAACAAATGTAAGAAACTCATAAAAAGTGGTGGTGGTGACAGCAGTGGCGGAGCCAAGAAATTAAATCAGAGGGCACTTATTAATTACAATATTAAAATTTTTTATAAAAATATTTCGCATAAATTTTTACCATTAACTTCATGAAAGATAAAAAAAAAGTTAATCAGTGTGTTTGGTTTTAATTTTCTGAATTCAGTTTTCTGAAAACTATAAGTATTTTATTTTTCATATTTTTTTTATTTTAGTGAATATTTTTTAAATTTTAAATAATTTTTTTACTTTTTTAGATGCATATTACTTAGATATGTATCCAAATAGTAAAATATTTGTGAAAAAATATTTAAAAAAATTAATAAATACACAAAAATACAAAAAATGTACTGAATTTTCATATTATTTATATATTTTTTGGTAATCAGTGTATTTTTTTTAAAAAAAAATTTACAAATATTATACTTTTTAGGTATATTTATGTTAGGTGTGTCTAAAAATTAAAAAAATTTGCTTAAAATATTAAAAAAATTTATTGAAAACATTAAAATACAGAAAATAAAGATGTCGATTTTTTGAAAAATGTTTTTTGAAAACTAGAACCAAATAAGCAAAATATTATTTGTAATTAATGTATCATAGACAATATTAAAAAAAGTCATGGATATAAAGTTTTAAAATAAATTATATAATGATAAAGTAATTTTTTATACAAAATATGCGTGAAAATTCAATATAATAGTTATAGCACGTCATCAGTAACATGTGATATCATCAACTAATAGTAAAAAAACACATGGAGAATAAACGCTACATGTTAAATGTAACTAACAATTCAATAAATTTTATATTTTCATTGAAATTAATTATGTTTGCATGTCAATATTGATAGATATCACCATTATATTGGAATTTTCATAGATAATAATATCGTAATCACTTTATTTTCAATCAAAATAACAATTATTATTCTTATTATTTTAAAAATGTCATTGACATTTAAAATGATATTTTTATAAATTTTTTTATTTAAAATATTTTCTTTATGTTTGCTTGAAAAAAAAAAAAAAATTCCAAAACCCGGGAGGGCATGTGATCCCCGGGCCCTTGTTAGCTCCGTCCCTGGGTGGCGGCATCAATTATAATAGAAATGTTGGTGGTAGTGAAGTGGTGGTGACAATGATCATAGAAAAATATTTTATGTTAATTTTTATTTTCAGTCATACCAAATGTAAGTGTCACGACCCAACCCCAGGGGTTTAGAGTTGGAATCGCAACTTACTAACTTATTCTATTCCTAGCAAATTAAACTGCGCGGGCGGAAACAAAAATAATTAAACAGGAAATTACTCCATTCTACTATTTTAATAAGAGAAAATACATTTATAGGGCATTTATTATTTTATTATTCAGTAACCGGCCCTGAGTAGAACAAAAGGGAGCAAAAATATATTTTAAAAAAAAAGGAAGAAAGATAAAAAAAAAAAAAGTGGTTCAACATCAATCCATGTGCGGGTTTCATTTCGTGAGGTTGTGGGTTTCCTCTACATCTCGTCACCTGGAGGTGTAACAGCTATAAACACACAATAGAGTGAGAAATATTATGCCAAGAGTATAGGGAATACAAAATAACCATGGATAGTTAGTTAAGCCAAAACATATACATAACTCAATTTGGTAAATAAATCATTTAAGTGGCAGAAACTGAAGTACAAAAATTATGTAAATAACTAACTATAACCACGGTACAGAACAGAACAAAACAGATGTCACAGAAGTGACAATCAGAACAGAGGTCAATGGATCCATGACAAACAGAGAACCACAAAATGGTCAAACAGAGGCCAATGGTTATTTAAATCGCCTAAGGCATGAGACTCCCATGGTGATACTTACAAAATATAATTGTTATAAGGTTATATTCAAATATTTTTTAAAATTTAAACAAACATATCCATGGGTTTCATTTTTAACAAATAGAGTTCAAAAAATAATCCACGTAACTGAAATATTAATATAGTTTATAATAATTTATAAAACATAACTTGTATAAAATAAATTATGGTAAGTTAAAACATATATAAAATATATTATAGTAACTCAAGGTATGATATAATTCACCTTAATATTGACCCTTAGCCTTTCTTTTACTAACACAACCTTCTTTTTTACATACCTCTCCCTCTCTTTCCTTTTCTCTCTTTTCTTTTTCTTTTCTTTTCTTTACTTTCCTTCACAGGTTGATCAACTCTCCCTATTTATAGGGAGGAAAACCCAATATCTGGCCAACACGTGGCCAGCCGAATCAACCCGCGGATCTGCTTCATAACTTCACCTGATTTGCTTATTACGAACCTAGATTTATATTTATCTTATAGTTAAGATAATTATTCTTGGGCCCAACTTCCTAATATAACTCTATAAATAAATTAATTCCTAATTAAATTATACTTTATCGTATACTTACAGAAAATTAATTATTTATTTTACTACCACACCCACTATTATTATTATTATTATTATTATTATTATTATTATTATTATTATTATTATTATTATATATAACTATAAATATTTATATAGTATTTAATTAAACGTTCAGGTTGTCACAAAAAAAGGGCTTACCTTGCAATTTTTGGGAGAAGGTTGGTGGGAATTATAAAAATAGAAACATTAAGAGTAGGGAAATTGTTATTTATGAATTTGGGAAACACTAAGATACTCATATTTAGTAGGAACAAAAGTTCCACTTATGCAAAATCTATTATTTTTTTCTAAACATGCCATGATCATTAATAATAATTATGTTTTTTAAAAAAGAACACAATGAAATTCAATAATTTATCAACATAAAAAGTTGAAATCCAAAATTATGAAGTTCTCCATTTATTACCTGGAGAATCCAAACTGAAATTGAAATTTATACACAAAAGACATAAAAATAAAAATAAAATTACCAAACAACCATCACAATGAAGCAATAAATTTGAATACACACAAATAAATTTGATGAAGTCAACTAAAGCAATATACATAATACCGTCAGTTCAAACTTGCTTCGCCGTTGTAGAATTTATGTCATCCACCTAAAAATCGATGAATAATATCACCTTAAATAGATAATTTAAAAAATATAAACGATTAAATATTAAGTACATAGAACCTATTGCTTTGAAGGAGAAAAAAAAAAGAATAAAAAAAAGAAGAAGTAAGAAATCAAACAAAACTAATGATGCGTTTAGTAATAGGCTAAAAAGTCAAAAACTTAAAAGCCACAAAATCAGTTGTCATTAGTTAAAAAATAAATAAATAAATAAATAAATAAATCCAAATACACAGTGATGGGCAATGGCGAAGGTTCCTAAATTCTGCTTTGAATCAGGCTTACTTTTGACATCCCCCCCCCCCTTTAAGCTTGATTCTCTATGTTATTTCATTTCAAGCATTGCTTTTAATCTGACAAATAAATCTTGCTTGAGGGGCTTGGTAAAGATGTCCGCAATCTGGTCATATATTCTGTAAGAAATAAGTTTCACTTATTTGTTCTTCACATGTTCTCTGATGAAATGATATCTAGTATCAATGTGCTTACTTCTTTCATCATATACTGGATTGTTTACTAGAGCAATTGCTGGTTGATTGTCAACGTAAACTGTGAGGCTCCTAAAAATTTTACTTTCTTAAATGTCCCTTACTTTTAAATTATTTCCTTGAAGTCCCTTAGTTTCTTGATTAAATTTTAACCCTAGGATCAAAATATATGCGCCAATTGAAAACTCGCAAACCCTAATCGATTTCGGTAACTTAAGAATCAATTTTAATACCCTAATACCGATTAATGGACTCCATACATGTTCGTCGGAAGATAACCTTTTTATTCGAAACAAGAATACAAACCGAATTAGTTTCTCTAACCCTAATTTAATTTAATTCTACACTAAAATAAATGTTCTGATTCATAAATTAAATCGAAAGCCCTCACGTTTTTATTAAATAACAAATTGACTCCAAACAAGTATCATTATATATATATATACATTCGTACCCTAAAATCTATTTTATATACCATACTTTACAATTTTCAACATTTGTAAAAAAAAATATATATATAAAATAAGTCCTTCAAATCACCATCTATGGCCGACCATTACCTATATAGATACAATGAGTGTACTTTTAAGACAAACTTGCATAATCTAAGGAAAATCTTTCACTTTGGTTACAAGCTTATATATATAAATGTATATATGCATTGTACTTGTAACTAGGTTGGTTTGATTAAGATAAAACCCTAACATGATCATGCTTAAGTACTCAATTAAGCCCTCTAATTCTCCACTATTCTATTGAATTCAAACTAAATTCAAAATATCTAATCCAATTCCAACCAATGGGCAAAATAGACCTTTTGCACCAATTTTCCTATAAAAGAAACCTCACTCTTAGCATCTTGCACACAAGAACAACACACATACCACACCACACAGTTGAAACAAAAGAGAGGGAAGAGAGTGAGCTTGGTGGAGGATAGGAGAGAAAGAGAAAGTTGCTAGCAATTTAATCAAGCCTCAAGTAAGCAACAACACAACTCTTCCTTTCATTTTTCCTTTCAAATACATGCTCTTAGAGGTTCTAAACATTAATTTCAGAAGTGTTTTAAATGGTATTCTTGTGTTAAACCAAAAAAAATGAAAAGAGTTGAGTCTTGTTCCACCCTTCTTGTGTTTTTCCTTCATCGGTAACAAGCTATCTTCTTCTACATCGTTTTCTCAAAATTTCCAAGGGCACACCTTCAATTCAAATTTCTGAGTTTAATATA